AAACACACATGTAAGCTAAGACTCTCTAAAGAAACGGCATTGTTGTTGTTCGGCTTTTCATTTCGCCATTTGTTGATTCACTTGAAGAACGAGTAACCTAATATGGGTCAAGTGATCAGTTTGATATCAATCTTTCGTGATACACAGTCATATTTACATTATTTGTACAGTACGAATGATTTGCTTTGGTACCTGGTCGAACTTCAGTTCTCCTCTGTCTGCCTGGCTGCGTTTCTCCAACAGCGCACTCGCAGGCAGCAGCTCCTTCTTTTTGTTCATTTTTGTTTTAAATGTTACGCCAAGTTCCCCTTTATAGAATTTTTATCTTGCTTATTTAAAAAGTATTTACCGTACTTTATATAGACACTACAATCCAACTGAAAAGCGAACTAACCAGCAAACAGGAGTGTGTGTGTTTGTTTGTGTGTGTGTGTGTGATATCCAATGATATCTGAATTAATCATTTTTTTATATGCCAGGACTCAAAATTTTAATATACTTTAGCATTTATTTTCTTTTTTTTAGTGTGAAAGTTATTGTTTAAATGCTGTTTTGGTGTTTGAATAACACACAGTATATGAATTAATGGAGTAAAAAAGCATAGGGAAGGTACAGGATGTCAACAGTGAATCAGTTAAGAGTCTGTAAGCTGCGTTTTAACAAAGATAACATTTATGGTGTCAACATCACATCACATCATTTCATAGAATGTGCTGTTGTTGATTACACTGTTTGTGTGAATTGTGCATACCAAATAACAGTTCCCCAAAAGAGCAATAAGTGGACACTGCACCTTCAGCTTTTATAAACATTACTTGCTGAAGCTGTTTGCACGAACACGAGAATCCAAATCAGTCGTATCCGACATTAACCTCCTAGGACCTGGCGTCCACATATGTGGACATCACATTTTGGATTGTCTAGACCGAAATACAAAATCTTGCTCTACAAGAACCCTTACGAGGACATTATACTGCCACTGTTCTATCGATATTTAAAGCTAATGTCCTCATATGTGGATCTCATTTTTCTCAGAAACAAAAATTAGGTAAAAATCTGTTAATTCTTTGTTTTTACATTCATCAGGTCCCAATAAGAGCAAATAGCAAAAAGAAATTAAAAATGCATGCCATGAAAGAGTTCACGTCTTAGGAGGTTAAATGATCTTCACCCTGCCCTCTTGCTAGCACAAGTCTGTGTAATGTCTCATTGAGCCCATGTGAACATCTACAGAAATTTAGTTATCTTATACTCTTTATTTACACTCATGGGAATGAATTTCATGGTAATTTTGAGGGTTTACTGTTTGAAAACAAAAATAATTCTGGATGATACAGGTGCCATGATTCCCTTGAGACTGACATTCCCACATGCAACAAAGTCAAAGCAGCATAGTAAAACAAAAATGTGAAACGCAGGAATTTTCCTAAAATAGGTTCCTATAGAAATGTACGCAAGGTCAAACATGTCTTTGCAGAATTTCACAGGCATCCATTAATCCGAGAAAGTGGTAAGTCATTCCACTATTATTTTCATCTTTTAGCATCACAGGGAAGTATGATTTATTTAGGTCAAGTGTGAGTGGCGTGGGAGTCCTTCATATCAGAGTTTCTCTATTTTCTTCCACAAGGTCAAGAAAACTGTACAGCAGTGTTTAACTCATACTTAAGAGCTTCATTACTTAAAGGTATGAACAGCTCAAAACAACTCAAAAAAATGTGCAAACTATGTTTTTAATGACTGGATGCTGTTGCTTGTTTGTCGTACCTTCAGTGTCACAAGGTCAGATTCTCCTGGAAAGGAAAATTTGTTTGGCTTGTGCAAGAAAGACGTCTGTGTTATGAACTCGCTCATGTGCCACATCCCCACAAAGGCAGATGGGCTTGTTGTAGCGCTGCAGAATAGCAGTTTAGTGCCAGGTGTTTAGAGGTCACCTGAATTGGCTCTTATGGCTTTTGGCTACTTTCAGATTCATGCAGAAAATTTTGAAATTGAAGATGGTTAACAACGTTTCTCAAATTTGGGTTAAACAGTGTCAGGTTGTGTGTTTGGATGGATAGTTTGTTTGTTTGTTTGCTTTTTTGAGAGGAACTTAGAGCTTAGGAAGTTAGGGCTGTTTGACATAACAATATATATCGGAAGACGATATGAAAACGTCTGTCGTTTCATATCGTTTGTTTCGTGGTGTCGCAGAATAAACTGTTTACGGCAGTTTCGGCGGTCACTGTGGTGGCTATAATAATTTCTTAAAGTTCGCTCTTTTTCTTATATTTAAAATAACCACGCTACGGACGGACAAG